CCCACCCCGCCCCCACCCCAGGACACTCACGGACGCAGGCAGGGAAGCCATGGAAGCCGGGGCTGCATTCATGGCAGGCGGAGCCCATGTAGCCAGGACGGCAGCGGCAGGAGCCACCTGCTCCACAGAGCTGGTCCAGGGCCCCCCGGGGGTCGCAGGCGCAGGCTGCGGGGCACAGTGAGGGTCAGGCTCCGGCACCTTGCAGGTACCCAGCTCCTTCCTGTCCCGGCCCCCTCACTCACCACGGCAGTTGGGGTAACCATGGTGGTCAGGGCGACAGCGATCGCAGTGTGGGCCCTCGAACCCGGGCCGGCAGGGGCAGCGGCCCTCCTCGTCGCAGCCTCCGGGCAGGGTCCCCGCAGGGCTGCAGCCACACACTGGGGAGCACCACTTGTCACGGGGGCCCGGGGCTTCGCGGGCTAGGCCCCGGCCCCAGGCCCCCTCGGTCCCCGGGCCCCCTCAGCGGGTGGTACTCACGCTGGCAGAGGGGGAAGTGGAAGTAGCCAGGGGCGCAGCGGTTGCACGCAGCCCCCTCGAAGCCCCCTCGGCACTGGCACTGGCCTGAGTCCGGGTCGCAGATGCCACTGTCCACCCCAGGGCTGGAGCACTGGCAGGCTGCAGGAAGGGGCACGCCAGGCCCGGTCAGCGCCCAGGCGGCGCGGGGCACTCGCGCGCGGGAGAGGACGGGGTCTGCACTCACGCTGGCAGCCAGGGCCGTAGAACCCAGGCCTGCAGAGCTCACAGTGGGCACCCTGGAAGTTGGGCTTGCACACGCAGCGGCCCAGGTGCGGGTCCTTCCGGCAGGCATTGCCCACGGTCCCTGCGGCGCTGCAGTCACAGTCTGCAAGGAAGGGGTGGGGGAGGCTCAGACCCCTTCCCCTCCCCCAGGAAAACCAGCTTCCCGCTCACACTGGGTCTTGAGTGTCTGCATCAAGTCCCATACATGCACAGAACGTACTTTGATTATGTTATCCCTCTATTGCTCTCTCTCTTTTTTTTTGTCGGTCGTGGGGCTTGAACTCTGGGCTTGGGCACTGTCTCTCAGCTCTTCAGCTCAAGCTGAGCGCTCTACCACTTGAGCCACAGCGCCACTTCAGGTTTTCAAGTGGTTTATTGGAGATAAGAGTCTCACGGACTTTCTTGCTTGGGCTGGTTTTGAACTGCGATCCTCAGAACTCAGCCTCCTGAGTAGCTAGGATGACAGGCGTGAGCCATCGGCATCCAGCTTGCTCTTTCTTTCCTACACTATTTTGTATGATACTAATTAGAAATTAAGATAACAAAAATCTCAAGGGAAATAGTATTTTGGCACACCAGAACTGCAACAGCGCTCATACAGTCCAAGTTCACCGCAAGCCTAAAGGCAGAGCAATAAACAGAACCCCAGCACGCGCACCAGAAACTTCCGGTATCTTTATAAACAATTCTAAGGTGGGAAGAAGAAAGAAAGAGCATGAAAGGGGCATTCTGAATACACTTGATATTTGTTCTCAACAGAAAAAACTGTTCATAATCTGTCACAAATGTAAAAATGCTGGGCACTGGGGGCTCACATCTGAAGTCCTAGCTACTCAGGAGGCTGAGATCTGAGGAAGACAGTTCAAAGCCAGCCTGGGCAGGGAAGACCATGAGACTCTTATCTCCAATTAACCACCCACACAGCCAGAAGTAGAAGTGTGGCTCAAGTAGTACAGCACTGGCCTTGAGTAAAAAAAGCTAGGGCACCACACCCGGGTCCTGAGTTCAAGCCCAGTTCACACAAAAGAAGAATCACCATTGGTCAGACCAGAACATCGACACAGCCTATAATCCTGAAAAAGAAGGGTGTATCCCCACAGTGGTACCCACACAACACAACACAGCCCAGCACAGGTTCCGTCGCTGGAACTGGACTCAGGTAGGAAAGATAAGAAATGGTCCCCTAAAGACAGGTGGGGCCTAAGCTGACAGACAGGCTGGGGACCTAAGACGAAACCTGCTGCATCCCGTGCTCCAGGAAGCCTGGGGTGAGCAGCCCTGAGCCGGGCGCGGCAGGCGGGAGGCCGAGAGCAGAGGAAGGGGACAGGCGGAAGCCGAGTCAAGGTGGCAGGGACACGAGGGACAGCCGAGGCAGGACACAGGACACGGAGCCGGTGGTGCGTGGAGGCCACGCAGGCGTCACACAGCAGCCAGGGCTCCCGGCGCAGGGGGCACGTCCGTCCATGCACAGCCACAGCCACGCAGACACAAGACCTCCACAAATCCGCTGGCACAGAAGCCTGAATTTACACGAGAACCCCAACTCAAAGGAGCAGGCCTCCGGTGAGGACCAAGTAGATGGGCAGCATCACAGACATGTAGAAGTTGGCACCCGACAGAACAGGCCTTCCTGCCAAACACCACCAAGCAAGCTAAAGCGGTCGTGTTCCACGTGAGTCACAAGGAGCCAAGGTCAAAGCCATGACTGTCACCAACTCACACACCACTCCTGACCACGGTGCACCCACACAACCGGGGCTGGGGAAACCCCACTGCCCTGAATAATGATGCACTCGGCCAGATACCCAGGCCAAAGAGGAAATACAGATGGAAAATACCAACGAGTCAGAAAAGAAATGAGGACACAGCATTCAACACCTAAGGGAGAGCTGAGCACCAGTGGCTCATGCATGTAATTCTAGCTACTTAGGAGGCTGAGACCTGAGGATCATGGTTCAACACCAGCCCAGGCAGAAAACTCCATGAGACTCTTATCTCCAATAAACCACTCAGAAAACCAGAAGTGGCACAGTGGCTCAAGTGGTAGAGTGCTTGCCTTGAGCTGAAGAGCTGAGGGACAGCGCCCAGGCCCAGAGTTCAGGCCCCATGACCGACAAAAAAAAAACCAAAAAACACCTAAGGAGGTACAGCTAACCAAAGCTGCATGCTGAGGAAAATGCGTAGCTCAGAAGCAGGATTAGAGCCACATTCCAGACGGGATGATGGCTGTGGGGCTGGGCCGACACCTCAGCCTCCACCTGCTTCACCATCTGTCCTAACAACCAAACTCATATCAGACGTCACTGTCCCCCGCTAACGGCAGGCACCCCGGGGTAGGCAGGCGGCCACTGCCTTCATGGCATGGTTGAGCAGCCAAAATAAGCGTAACTCAAGAAGCTATCAGGGCTGGGAAGATGGCTCAGTGGTAGTTTGCCGAGTATACATGAAGCCCTGAGTTTGATTCCTCACCACGTACACAGAAAAAGCTGGAAGTGGTGCTGTGGCTCAGTGGTAGAGCACTAGCCTTGAGCAAAACCAGTTTAGGGGCAGTGCCCAGGCCCTGAGTTCAAGCCCCATGACTGGCAAAAAAAAGAAAAAAGACAAATTAAGAAAAAACTTAGAAATGTACAAATTTATTAGGAAGCAGAATCCTATCCATATAACCTTAAGCTATATATATTGAAAACACCAATTATTCTTTTTATTTATTGAAAAACTAAAACGTATAAACTTTAGTTAGGTATGATCAATAGAGAAGAGAGAAAAAGAGAGAGTGGGAGGGAAGGAGGGAGGGAAGAAGGGAGGGAGGGAGGGAGGAAGGAAGGAAGGAAGGGAGGGAGGACCATAGGAATAGAGAATTAAAAAGTACAGAGAATGTTGACCATAACTTTAGGCCACTATATCTGAATGTGCAACATGAACAATTTGCTAGAAAAAATAACCAAAAGATGTAAAATGAGGCCAAAATGTGGCAGATAACATCATGGAAGAACTTAAAATCTTCATCAAATATCTCTTTTGGAAACAAGGCATTGCCTACAATCCTTTCAGGCAGAAGCAAGAGGATCACAAGTTTGAGGCCAGCCAGAGGTACAGAGTGAAACCGTTTCAAAACAGAGGGAAGGAAAGAAAGTGGAGCATGCTAGGCAAGCACTCTGCCTTCCAGCTTTAACCCAGCACTAATGCCTGTGATTTTTAAACTCATCTGTTCATAGAAGAACATGGCTAATTTCCCAAGGATTTTGCTAAACCAAAACATGGTAGCACACAGACAAAAATGAGAAGCTGTCAACAAGTCTTGCTCATGGAAGCAGACCCAAGGAAACAACTTATGTTCGGCCTGAGCTATATCAGGAAAGGCAGCAATTCATTGTATAATACACAAATTTAAAGTGGAATACTATACAGCCCTAGGTAACTTACCATGGACCCACAGAGAAAGAATTTTCATAGTCTACATCAGGAATTTGGCAAATTACGGTGCAAGGACTCTTCTGTTTTTATAAATAAAGTTTTATTGGAAGTAACACCAGCCCACTTGCTCCAATATGGTCTACGGCTAGCTGCAACCTAGTGGCAGAAGCCGCAGAGCTGGGCAGAATCCAGACATTACATTTTACTGTGTGTACTACGATGAAAACCTACATATACTCATATAATCCCCCGGGTGCCAGTGGCTCGTGTCTGTGATCTTGGTTTAAACCAGTCTAGGCAAAAGTTATGTGACACCCCATCTCACTCAATAGAAACTCAGTATGGTAACATGTCTGTCATCCCAGATACAGAGAAGTATAAATAGGAGGCTCACTCTGTAGGTTGGTCCCAGCAAAAAGACCCTATTTGAAAAATAACAGAAGCAAAAAGGGCATGGTTGAAATGGTAACACACAGGCCTAGCAAGCACAAGGCCCTGAGCTGCAAGCCAAAAAAGAAAAAAAAAAAAAACGAGGCAGGGAAGGAAAGAACCTAAATTCCCAACAATGGGAGACTGGTAAAATAAGCGCTCTGTCTAACATAGACAGTAAAAGAACACGTCTGTGGGACTGTGGGTGAGACAGGCCATGACTGAACTGTGCGTGGACACTCGTGTGTGCACACGCATGCCCACATGGCACGGGAGCACGGAAAGGAGTCATTTCCTTTTATTTATTTTTGGCTGGGTACTACAGATGGAAAATAGGGCTTGTACGTGTTCATCATGCATCTGCCACTGAGATACAGTATTTTGCCAGAGTGAATATACCTAATTTGTATAAAAATAAATGAGTTAGCTTGGTGCTGGTGGCTCACGCCTGTCATCCTAGCTACTCAAGAGGCCAAGATCTATGGATCTCAGTTCAAAAGCCAGCCCAGGCAGGAAAGTCCATGAGACTCTTATCTCCAATTAACCATCAAAAAGCCAGAAGTGGAGCTGTGACTCAAGGGATAGAGCATTAGCCTTGAGCAAAAAAGCTCAGGGACAGCGCTCAGACCCTGAGTTCAGGCCCCAGGACTGGCACGTGTGCACACACTCATACATGTACGCACGCGTACACATGTAGTGACTAAGATGGACACTCATGCTTCATCACGGCTTCCAGCCCTGCGGCCAGCCTGGGGACCGACCGTGGGGGGATACTTACTCACGATCTGTCCAGCCGGCAGCACCTGCTCCCCGGTAGTGTTGAGGGAGAATGTGGGCACAGCTGAGCAGAAGAGACACCCTATCAGCCAGGGCTGCCGGGCCACCGTCGGCCCCGCCCCCGGTGCCCTGCCCCGCGGGGCTCCCCAGCCATGGGCAGTGAACTGGCCTCCCCCAGCCCCAGCTCTGCGCAGCCCTCACGGTAGCAGTGTGGGAAGCCGGTGAAGCCCTCGGCGCACTTGTGGCACTGCGCCCCTGTGTAGTTTGGCCGGCAGTAGCAGCGGCCAGTCAGGTCTTCGCACGTGCCATCTGTGAAGTCCAACTCGCAGCTGCAGCCTGGGGAGAGGAGGCGGCGGCTGGGGACACTAGTTCTCGGAGGGCCAGGGGGCGAGGCCTCCAGGGGGCAGACGAGACCCTGGGTCCCCGGAGCCCTCTCCTGAGCCACCCAGGCGCCCACCCCACCGGGCCACTCACGGCGGCAGGCGTGGGGAGAGTCGAGCGGGTGGTCTGGCGCACGATAGAAGCCGGGCAGGCAGCGCTCACAGTTGATGCCGGTGGTGTGATGCTGGGGGAGGGGCTGCTGAGTCCAGGCCAGCCCAGGCCTGTGCCTGTGCCCCCCCTGGTGCCCCCCCCCGGCCACACACGCAGTGTACCTGGCAGTTGATGCACACGCCCCCACCCTGGTACACACTGTCCTGGTTCTGGCTGGCGTTGCGCCGGTCTACTTCGGGGTCATAGTAGCAGTCGTGGGCATGGCCGTGGCAGTTACAGGCTGGGGAGAATCCGCAGTCAGCCGCCCTCCCCAGCGCCGAGCCCCAGGGCCCGGTCCTCCCAAGAGCCCAGGGCGCCCAGAGCGCCCCCAGGTGGGTGGGGCACTCACGCTGGCACTCGTTGGCACTGTCAGTGGTGGCCGGCTTCCACCGCTGCTGGTTGAAGCCGGGGCAGCAGCGGTCACAGGAGCCCCCGCACGTGTTGTGCTGGCAAGCGCACTGCAGCCTGTGGGGGGCACGGTGGGGCTGGGGTGCGCCCGGGGCAGAGGGCCAGCGCCAAGGGCAGGACTTCAGTCCCTGCCTCGAAGGAGCCTGTAGTCTGTGCCACTCTAACAGCCAGCTCCTACTCAGACCTCCCTCCCTCTACCCTGGGGGTTCTGAACAACACAAGGGCCGGGGACGGGGGTGGGGGGATGGTGGAGGGAAGAGGGTCACAGTGACACGGTGCAGGTGCTCCTGGAGGCTGGGGCGCATGCTGCAGGCAGGGTGGGACCCCAGCAATCAGGTGACCTGGCCATCCTTCCCACCACGACCAGCACCCAGCCAGCTCCCAAGGAAGACACGTCTGTCCCCTCTGAGGTCAGGACCCCACTGGGCAGGCAACCCCTTGGCAGGACAGGGCCAGCTGACAAGGCTCACCCAGCACCACCTCGCTGCCTGGCTGTGCAGAATGGGAAACTGAGACCCACACCCAACTCAACCATCTCCATCCCTCTGGGTGAAGACAGGCAGGACTTACCTGAAGGGGTCGGAGGGGTCTTTAGCATCGCAGACGTCTGCATGGCCGTGGCAGACGCAGCGGCCACCGATGCTGATGTCCTTGATGCTGTAATAGTACTGTGCCCATGGCCCATGAGTGCAGGGGGTCATTCCATCCACCCCCCCCAACCTGGCCTCAGCCTCGGCTGGGGGCTTCTGCAGAGAGCCAGCTCCTCCTCCCTCCCCGGGCTCGGCCTCCCCCCTCCCCGGGCCTAGGTCCCCGAGCTCACCCGGCGGGTGACGGTGGGGTCCCGCAGAGCCTTGCCCATGAGGTGGCCCAGCAGCGTGTTGGTGCGCAGGAAGCGCAGCCGGATATTGGTGGCTTTGGTGAAGTCTCGAAGCAGGGGTGAGTAGGAGAAGTTCATGGCCCCCGGGCGTCCATTCACCAGGGACACCACAATCTGCGGACAGCGTGACCGGTGAGGCTGGGCGTGGCCACCCTGCCCACGCCGCCATCAGACCCGCCGGCCGGCGCGCACTGCCCCATGCCCACCTCGCCGTTCTCCAGGGGTACTATGCGCGAGTACTCGGTGGTGCAGATGACATCGTCATCCCGCGTGATCCGCTCCAGGGTCTGAGGCCCAAACCGCTCCAGACAGTCCCTTTTGGAGGCTACAGAGAACGATGCGAAGGTGAGCACCGGGCCGGCCGGACACAGGGATCCCAGCACCAGGCACAGGGCCGGTTCTCGCCTGGCAGCCCATCGACCCATGTTCCACTGGCTGTGGGACTTGTGGAAGACAGAGGGAAGTCTGGCTGATGGCGGAGTCTGTCCTGCTGGGTCAGGGAGGTGGGAGACTTGTGCAGAACTAACTAGCTCATACCTAATGGCTAGCCTTCTCCCTGGAAAATGCCGCAGCAAGTTCCCCCTGGCCCTTTCCGGGGCACCATCCCCTATTCTTGGCTGAGGAGTTTTGAGGGTCATGTGACCAGGCTGTGTAACTGAAGCATTTGCATGCTGCCAATATGGCCGGCCGGGGACACTGCTGCTAGCCTCACATAGATGGCTGAGCGGGCAGGAAGTGGGCTCAGAGCCACCCAAGCAGCTCGATCGCCATGGGGGCAGCCCAGGCTGAAGCCTCCACCAGGAGACGGCCGGAGCGGCACTGACTGTGGCTGACATCAGAACGAAACCAGCAAACTCCGCCTTCGGGGACCCGCATCCTCGGTCCTGGCCCTGTGGAGGTTGGCACCGGGCAGGGCTTGGTGTCTGGGGCCTCGGAAAAGTGTGGCGATGGCAGTCCAGCCCGTTCCAGGAACACCCCAGACCCCGTGGCCCCGGGCCACTCACAGGCAAAGAACTGCCACGGCTGGTAGGTATGGCCAAAGTCCGTGGACCGCTCCAGCACCCAGAGGTCTGGCCGAGGAGAGTTGGCAAACTTGATGAGCACATAGGCGACATGGAAAACCTGCAGGGGGGTGTGGCAAGGGTGTCAGGGTGCCTCGGCCCCTTCCGCCCCCTGCCCTCTTAGGCATGGTGCAGAGGACCCCCAGCTCCACCAGGGAACCCATCTCTCCTGGGGAACAACAGAAACCAGCCCTTGCTGAAAGGTTCCCTCTTGATCCTGGGCGTACCTGGAGCAGGACCTAGACCCCCAGCCTCCTCCCTGAGCCCCTCCTCAGGGGCCTCGGGGCCATCTTGGTCCGTTGGACTCAGGCCTGGTGGGGGGTGGTCAGGGCACGCTAGGCGGGCACACAGGGACCTGTCTGCAGGCTGGGCAGTAGGCCTGGGCAAGGGGGAGATGGCTCCCAGCCAGGACTGAGGGCTGGACAAGCCCAGCTCCCAAGTGAGCCTGGCCTCCTGTGGGGATAGAGCCTCACCTGGACACCACCCCAGGACCTTCCACCTTTATGTTAACCAGCTCTTTGAGGCCTCTGGGGAACCACACAGCACAGAGCAGGGGCTCACCAGCCAGGCCTCAGTGCCCAGGGGGGAGGGGGGGCCTCACCAGCCAGGCCTCAGTGCCCAGGGGGGAGGGGGATGCCTCACCAGCCAGGCCTCGGTGCCCAGGGGGGAGGGGGGTGCCTTACCAGCCAGGCCTCAGTGCCCGGGGTGGGGGGGTGCCTCACCAGCCAGGCCTCGACACATGGAGCAGGGGCTCACCAGCCAGGCCTCAGTGCCCAGGGGGAAAAGGGGGTGCCTCACCAGCCAGGCCTCGACACATGGAGCGGGGGCTCACCAGCCAGGCCTCGGTGCCCAGGGGGGAGGGAGGTGCCTCACCAGCCAGGCCTCGACACATGGAGCGGGGGCTCACCAGCCAGGCCTCGGTGCATCAGAACGCCAGAATGCTGAGGCCCGCCCTGGGTCTGGCCCTCCCTGCTTTCTCCCTTGCAGGGTAGGTGTTGTCCACGATGAGGCTGAGGAGGGCTTGTCTTCCTGACTACCCGCTATGCCTGTACCCTAAAGCTTCCTGGAGCCCAGCCCCATCCACACAGCCGCCACAGGACGTCTCCAGGAAGTCCTTCCTGAGGTTAGCTTATCTATCCCCCCGCTTTCTCAGGAAACCCCCAGCTGTCTTCCCTCCACACACCGTGCTGCCTTCCCCTCACCAGCCACCCCCCCCCCCACCTGATGGTCTTTCAGCCGAGATTCCTCCACTCTCAGTCTCACCAGTACATACTCAGTGGTGACCCTCTGGGCCCAGGGCTGGATGTGCACACGAAGCGTGTGGGCCCAAGATCAGGAGGAAGAGGGCAGTTTGTTGGGGTCACCATAGAGGAGAGCAAGGCCCTGGTGTGGAGTGGACTTGGGGTGGAGGGAGCAGTCTGATCCTCTGAGGAGCTTGGCCTGGCCTGGGACAGCTCCCTGGGACAGCACTTACCCAGCCTGTGCACCCTTGGTTCAATTCCCAGAACTGAAGCTGTGGGGCCAGGCCTCACCCGTCAGCAGCAAGCCCTTCAGCCACCCACCCCACTGCCACCTGCATGCTGAGGCTCTCCCACCCCGGCGCCTACCCGGAGCCCAGCACCTACCCAGGCCCAGCTCCAACCCCGGGCCCAGCTCCTACCCGGAGCCCAGCTCCCACCCCGGGCCCAGCTCCTACCTCAGGCTCAGCTCCTATCTCAGGCTCAGCTCCCACTTACTGGCACAAGGAGACTGTGATTTCCACATCCTGCCCAGAGTCCAGACCTCCATGGGCTATTATCCACACCCCCAAGTCTGGTTGGGCACAGCCAAGAGGCACGGACCCATCCTGGAACCCACTGCTCTGGGATTTCTCACCACAGCAGGTGCCAGTAAGCAGGCTACCACCCTGAAGCCTAAGACTCCCTAGGCCCCCAGGGCCACACGGGGCCCAGTCGCCTTGCCCCAAGTGGCCTGAGCCAGCCTGGGACCCACATGGAAGCTTCTTCAGCTTGAGGAGGTACAGCTGCAGGATGCCAGTGCAGGGGAGGCCCAGGGACCCCGACATGGCCCGGCTGCTGCCCCTGCCAGAAGCCTGGTAGCATAGGCACCATGGGCTGGAGCCAAGCCTGGCCTCCCTGGGTGGGGGCCAGGCCTATTTTATCACTGCCAGCTGAGGTCATCCACCGCTTCCCCATGGGGAGGGGCGAGGGGAGGGCTCCGTCCCTGCACCCAGTCCCGCCCCTCGCCTGGAGCTCTGCGGAGGCTGTGGAGCTAACTGATCGTCCGGGGCCAGAGTAGGGTCTGCGGAGGATCAGGGGCAGGAGGGAGCACTCGGGCATGCAGACATGACTCCGGCTGCCCTGGCCGCCCCGCCTTCGCCACACAGAGCCCGGGGCTGTTTGCTTGCCCGCTGCCCCGTCCCTCCCTCCCAGGTCCGCAGGCCCCACATTTTTCCCAGCTGAGAGCACTTTCACAAATATTGACTCCGAGATGCTGACGGCAGGGTACGGGGCATGGAAACTTCCGTCCCTCAACCTGGATGCACTCAGATCCCAGTCACCCGTCCGTCCTTCCATCCATCCGTCTGTCCATCCAAGCCTTTTCTGTCAGGTGGAGCCCTGGACAACTAACTGTCCTGAAGAATCTCCTGTTGGCACAGACCCTCGAGGGAGAGCCCCTGTCTGTCCCTCTCCACTCCCAGGGGCCTAGCAGCATCCTCGGTATGCGCAGGGAGGGGTGCAGACCCCGGCCTTCCCTGGCCACGGCCCCTCCCCGCCCGGCCTGCTTCCCTCAGCTGCCAGCTTCGGCTGACCTTTCTGCTGCTGCATAGTTCCATACAAAAGGGGAAAAAAATGTCTTTTAAAGCAAAAGCCAAACAAAAGCCGTGGTTATTTTTATACATCTGGCTATTTTGGGGCAGGCACGTCTCCAGAGCGGCAGCCGGGGCAGGCTCTTAGCCCCCATGCCCTCCCGCCCTGGCCCAGCCCGACCTCTGAGGGCCACAGCTCCCAAAAGAGGGCTCTGCCCTGCCACCCTGCCCATCAGGGAGTTGGCAAGGGCCCCAGCGGCCAGGCCAAGACAGGAGCGAAGGGCAGCACTAGATCTCAGGGCAGCGAGAACCGGCGGCACAGCCCTCCGAGGACATAAAGAGTGGGAAGAGACCGTCACCACGGGGTAGCCGTGAGGAGAGCGGCACTTGTCCCGCTGGCTGGCAAGCAGAAGACGGCAGCCGCCTGACAGATGCTACAGAGGGTGCCCCGGGCGCCCCACACCGGGGCGTTGTGAGGCCAGAGAGAGCAGTGAGCAGAGCCGGGCCTGGCATGGTCATCGCGGTGAGGCTGAGGGAGGGCGGCTGGCCCTGGGGGTGCGGTGGGTGGCGAGCCCGCCAGCTGCCCCCGCGGGCTGTGGCCGGGCGTCGCAGGGGACCTGCAGGAGGGGTTCCCTTCGGCACCCACAGTCCCCTTGGGGGCTGTGGAGACCGGGCTGCACACAGGTGGCTGCACATTTCCTGGAGCTGTCCCCGGCGGTGTGACTCAGCCTGCGGCCGATGACTCAGCCCTGACCCCGCAGGAAGGAGGCTCTGTACCAATTCCTGGGCCCGGCCAGGGTCTCGGGCCCTGGAAGCAGGAAGCCCCTCCTAGCCTGGGGCGTGAGGGCTATCTGGCCACTGCCCCGACCGCTCCCTCCGGACCTTGGGGACTTACAGCCTCTGTGTCCTGCCTGCTAGCTTGGCCTCGGAGGCCCTGAGTGGGCCCTGGGCCAGCTGCCAGAACTTGCCAGCCCTCTCAGATGCCCTCCTGCCTGGCAGACCTCACTTGGGAACCTGCTAACCCCACAGCAGGAGCCAGGGTGGCCGGGCCAGTGCAGGACAGCTACTCAGAGCCCAACTGGGTAACTAACTAGCCTCCCTTTGACTCATCAGACCTAAAACACAGGGACCCGCCCCAGAGAGAAAGTAAAATGGACAAGCCACGCATGCCACCCAGCGAGCCTACTGCCCAGAAACAAAAATGAGAACACGGGGCGCACTGAGCCCATGAGCCCCTGACCTGCGGGGGTTCCCAGCAGGGTGGGGGCAGAAGGGCCTGCTGGGGGACAGGACCTCACTAGCCTGCGGCAGAGCACGAGCCCAGTGGGAGGGAAAAGCCAGGGGAGAGCAAGGAAGAGGTGACACTGTTAGAAAGAAACGAGCTCACAATCTGACTCAAATAGCTGTGACCCGTCCGTGCCTCACCTTTGTAACAACGGCTACAACCACAGAACCAAGGGGGCCTGTGCAGAGGCAGGGCTGGGCTAGGGTGGACCAGATGGCCTGCTGGAGCCACAGGAAGTCAAGTTTATCCCCAGGGGACCCCACGGCTGAAACCCAAACAGTTTAGTCTCCACTGAGAGGTACGGCGAGAGGTCACCAGGCCGACGTGCTGGGGTTTGTTTAAAAGCGCAGAAAACAGGAAGCCTTAGGGGGTCCCCCGGACTGGGGGGGCGGGGGGTTCTGGCAGGCAGCAGGAGTAAGAGTAAGCGAGGGACAAGGGTGCCACAGACAGATGCGTGTGGCCTAGAACATAAAAGGCTGGGATGGGAGGAACAGCCGCCTGGCTCCGGCAGTCCCTCGCTGGGCCCTCCACCAAACAAGGACAGGAAGAGAGAGAGAGGGTGGGCAGAGGGAGAGGGTGGGCAGAGGGAGGGGGTGGGCAGAGGGAGGGGGTGGGTAGAGGGACGGGGTGGGCCGAGGGAGGTGCTGCCTCACGCCTGGCCTGGGGACCTGCCCACAGGACCCCCCAACACTACCCCACGCACAGGGAGCGCAGCTCGAGGCGCTGGTGGGCCCAGCCCTGCACCTGACCAGCACGGAGCAGCAGCGAGCTCTGCAACTGAGGCCTGCCCACAGCTGCACTTCCTGTCACTTCCCTGGACAACGCGCTGATCCTCTCAGGACGCTGGCCACCTGGACAAGTGCCCAGCTGGGCCCAGGGAGTCCTGCCAGTGGCTTCAGCCTGGTAACCACCTGGCCAGAAGGCCTGCCAGGGAGCCCAGCCCGGCCTGTCCGAGAGCAGGCAGGACAGGGCAGGTCTGCAGGGCACAGCCGGACTGCCATGTACCTGCCGTGCCCCCAGGCAGGGCTTCTTGTTTCCCTCTTACAGAGGAGAAAAGAGCCCAGAGCCCAGACACCTGGCCATAGCCATCCTCAGCATCAACTTCAGATATCGGCAGAGGGCTCTGGTCAGGACCCTGGTGCTGTCCCTGTCAGAACCCCTGCCTCAGTTTCCCCCAGTGCCCACAGAGGACTACACTCGTCAGTAGGTCCTCCAGAGTTCTACTTCTTTACTACTTCTATCTGGTGAGGAACAGGACACACACACACACACACACACACACACACACACACCTGTGCGATGCTACTCCCTACTCCAGACCCCCGCTCACAGCTGCCCACACTCCCAGGACTCAGGCCTCTTTGACCAGGGTGCTTCCCACTGCTGGGAGCCCAGCATGGCCAGAGCTGTCCCAATCCATCCTCAGGACCCCGGCACACTGGACTGGTAGGGTGGGCCCGGGCTCTGTGGCAGAGCCTGAGTGGTGAAGACAGGCCTGCTCCCGGGGCACAGGTCTGCAGGGACTCTGGGCAGGGGCAGCAGGGGCCAGCCATCTGATAACCGCCCCACAGCTTGGGAAGGACATGACAGATTCACAGAGCTCCTACCTTCAGGCCGGAGTCAAGTGGGAACGCAGGTAACTGTCCCTTTGTTTACTGGGGACCTTCTTCCACAGGAAGCGCCCTCTTCCGAGGCGGTACCAAGCCCCAGGCCCAGGACCCCCCAGGCACCTTACCCAGATGTCACAGGGCCCCGCATCTCCACTGCCCGGTCCAGTTCAGGCCCCACCCACCCGAGCGTGTGATGCTGGCAGGCAGGCAGCCCACCCCACCCTCCCTGGGCCTGCAGGACGCAGGAAGCTCCCCAGAGCTGGTGCCAGCGGCTCCACCCCCTTTCCAGGGCATCCGCTCCAACCCCAGAACAAAGGCGCTAGCTGAGGCGCTTCCTGAAAGAACCTCAGCCCAGAGCAGGCTCCTCCAAGGAGCTGCCGGATGCCCTAGCACAGAACCCAGGAAGAACCCCGTGGTGCAGCGTGAACCCACACACCTGTCACCAGCCCGGAGCGTGCGGTGCTGAAGTGACCCCTGCCCCACACCAAGGCTTGGCTGGTGGCAGGAGCCCCGGTGGACACACCTGCACAGTCAGGAGAGTGTGGATGGGGGGAAGGAGGGAGCGGAGGGAGCGGAGGGGGAGGGGACAGAGGGCTAGTGCGCTAGAAGGGGCTCCCTTCCCTGTGTCATTTCATAGTCAGTGAAGCTGCCCCTTAAGGGAGAAACAAGTTGTCCACAAAAGGAGACCTCCTCCCAGCCCCAGACAAACGAAAGGCAGATGGACATCAGGCCCATTCACAGATGTGGAGCCCAAGGGATGGCCCGGTCCAGGCTGGATCAGCAAACAGCCACATTCCCTCGGCCTGGGCACCCTGGGCTGCCGTAGAAACAGGGCCCTCTGGGGCTGGGAAGGTGGCTCAGCGGTAGAGCGCTTGCCTTGCATGCATGAGGCCCTGGGTTCGATTCCTCAGCAACACATAAGCAAAAAGAAAAAAGCCGGAAGTGGTGCTGTGACTCTCCTTGAGCTGAAGAGCTGAAGGACAGTGCCCAGGCCCAGAGTTCAGGCCCCACAACCGGACCCCAAAAAAAAAAGAAACAGGGCCCTCAGTGCCGCTGTCTCCCCTACCCACCTACCCGGCAGGTGGGTCCCTGGGGGGAGGTACAGGAAAGACAAGCCCCAACAAGAGCTCACATACAGCCGGGCGCTGGTGGCTCACGCCTGTCATCCTAGCTACTCAGGAGGCTGAGATCTGTGGATCTGGGTTCAAAGCCAGCCCGGGGCAGGAAAGTCCGTGAGACTCTTAATCTCCAATGAACCACCAGAAAACGGGAAGTGGTGCTGTGACTCAAAGTGGTAGAGCACTCACCTTGAGCAAAAGAGCTCAGGGCCAGGCCTTGAGTTCAAGCCCATGACCACAAAGAGAGTTCACCTACATACCCCATTGGAGATGCCCAACTGCTGCGCCAGCCTCACAGGTCAGGTGGAAACCAATGAGATGAAGACAATGGAATAAGCTCCACCCAGACCTGGGTCAGCTCAGAACTGAGGACGGGGAGCGAAGGGGGGGGGCAAGAAGGGGGGAGGGTCTTCCTCGTTGCCCCCCTCCTGCCTCACCCTGCCTGCTGGGTGAACCCATTCCCCCTTAGGAATTCCAGGTCATTTACTGGGCCATCTGCCTGTCCAGAGCCAGACTTAGAGACTGCCGGAAGTAGACGGCCAGTCCTAGGGACCGTTCTTCTAAGCAGCTCCAGGAGACACCCCCCCAACACCCGGATGGTAGCAGGACAACAGGCTCAGAGAGCAGAGACCCTGAGTCACACGCCTCAGCAGAGCAGGCCAGGAGTGTGGGCTCTCAGGGAGAAAGGTCTGGTGATCAACCCTGAAACCTCCCCCTCCAGGCGGGGGCCTCCCCTCCAGTCCCAGGGACAGCAGAGCCAGCCCGTTCCCACGGCACACAGCACCAAACCGCAACACACCGGGACCGGCAGAAAGCCTGCTTGGGCGTGGGAAGCGTCACGGGGTGAGACCCAGCTACGTGAGTGGTGGTGTGACGTCAGCGGCCCCAGACCCTTGTCACCTCGTGGTGGGGCCACCGCGGGGCCCTGGGCTGCGGAGCAGGCACCTCACCCCTCACCCCAAGGTGGCGGTGGAAGCACAGGTATCCCAGGAATGTCCTCCTCCTCCACATTCCTGAGCACGCCCCTCCCACCCCGCCAGGAATTCCTGAGTAAGCCCCAGGCGCCTCTGGGGGCACCAGGGGCTGTGTGGCCGCGGGGCTCCAGCCCTCCCTCCTTCCCTGCTGTAACCAGGGATGTGAAAGGGCACCCAGGAGGGGCTTGCGTGGAGCAGTGCAGGCCAGGACCGGACCCTACCTGGCCCAGGTCCAGGGTGACGTTGACCTCATTGTACTCCAGGCCCCGGGACAGTGGAGGGCTCTGCCACCAGCGCTCAGTGCCGTCCACCGCATTGCTCACAGGGTGCGCCTTGTTACTGTTGGCCGCAGTGCAGATGTCACAGTACTGGCCCTGCAGGGGGAGGGACAGTCATGAGGCTAAAGAAGGGCTGGGCAGTGCTGTCCCTCTTGCCACCGATTCCAGCCCGAGGGCCATCACGCATGCGGAGCACACGGAGCTCCAGAAGAGCAGGCGTGCCCGCTGTAGGAGGCCAGGCCAGGGGCGCCTACCAGTGTGGGAAAGCTGGTTCCAGGACAGGGCGGGCCAGCAAGGCACCTTCAGCCACAGGCTGAGAAGGGCAGAGGGGCCCAGCCCCAGTGGCTCACACTGTAACCCTAGCTAATAAGGGGGCTGAGCTCTGGGGATCTAGAATGGAAACCATCCTGGGCAGGAAAGTCTATGAGATTCTAAAGTCTAATCACCAAGAAGCTAGAAGTAGAAGTGGTAGAACACCAGTCTTGAGGTTGGGAATGTGACTTAGTGGTAGAGTGCTTGCCTAGCATGGATGAAGCCCTGGATTCCATTCCTTAGAAGAACCCAGAAGTGCTGTGGCTCAAGTGGTGGAGTACTAGCCTCAGGCAAAAGCAGCTCAAGGACAGCATCCAGGCCCTGAGTTCAAGCTCCAGGGGGAGCTGGGGGTGGGGGTCAGATTCACTCCAGAGCCCATGCTGCCCACCAGTCCCAGGGCCTCCCATTAATCTCCAGAGGGAGATGAGGCTGTGGGCAGCATAGGCCCAGGTCCGAGTGGCAGTAGCAGGTGAGGCCTAGGCTCTCTGACTCCAATGTCTGAGCACCAGGAAGGTCTGGGCCAAGTCACGCAAGAGCCTCAGGGCCCCCATCAGCAGGGTGGAGATGGGGCGGCACCTGCCTGCCAGAAGCCCCAGCAGCTGCTCCTCACTGCCCAGCCACCTGCTGCGCCTGGCTCTGAGAGGTCCCCCCCATGCTCTGTGGGGTGCAGGCCTACTGTCTGCATGGGGGAGGGGCAGGGCCCTGGAGGCCTGCCCACCCCCCGCAGGAAACCAAAGGCAGCCCCGCAGGCTTGGGGCCCCCAGAGGCCCAATCTTGGCAAGGGTGGGCTGGGGCCAGAAGGTAGGTAGGAGTGTGGGAGCATCTCCTGTCCCCACTTTCTCAGGACACACATGGCTGGGATGCAAAAGGCAACCAGCCCCTGTGGTTCAGCCAGCCGTCCCCAGGCCTCCGTGCCCAGGTAGGAGGGGGAGGGGGAGGAGGGGAGGGTGGCCCCCGCCTGCTGGCTTTGAGGACCTTCCCCTTTGCTGACCCTCAGCTCAGAGGTCTCAAATGTCATCTCCTCAGCAGGGCCTGGGGCTGGGACCACCAAAGATGCTGAGCTGGGGCCAGGCAGGGCCACCAGACTTATCTGGCTCTCATTCGTTTCCCACCTTCCTCAGGGACCCCTCAGGCCTCTGAAGGAGGCAGGCCCAGCCTTGCGCACCCCTCCTGGCACCAGCCACCACACGGAGAAGGCTGCATAGAAGCTAAGGCAAGGGCAGGGCTCAGTGGTGACCCCTAAACGGAGGCTAAGGCAAGGGCAGGGCTCAGTGGTGACCCCTAAACGGAGGCTAAGGCCTCCTAGCCTCTAGAGAGGCAGGGCGAGGTCCAAGGTGCTCAGTGAGGGCAGCGCTGGGGGGGGGGGGCCAGCTGGGATGAGAGGGGTCAGGAAGGAGGTGGGCGGGCAGCATTTCCAGGGGAGGCTTGCTGCTGGCCAACACCCACCCCGGCAGGACAGCACACCGAGGCTGGGCCCAAGGCTGAGGGTGGAAAAGCAGGCCTCCAGCCTTCCAGGAGCCCAAAGGAGCCTGTGCCAGCCAGCCCTGCCAGGCCCCGGCAACCTGGAGTCAGGAAGACATGGAACTAGTCCCAGGAGGCCTGAGCAGCAGCCCAGCTGAGCCCTGCGGCCACCATCCTCTCAGTTTCTGTGGACAGGGCTGGGAAATTAACTCTGACCACGTACCCCACCCCTCCCCCACCCGGAACAGAGCTAGGAAAAGGCCAGGGACTGATAATGACTTCCTCTTCCAATGAGTCACTGGCAAGGTTGGCCAGAGGCCAGCCCAAGCTCCTCTGATACCCACCTGAGACTAGCTGCCCTGCGCCCTGGGCCAGGCTCACACCGGGGGTCCCAACCCCCTGCCCCATCCCCTAGGATGACTCCCAGCTACCTCTGGAGCTGCCGTGTGAGGCTAGTGTCCCCCATCTCCCACCCCCATCTCCCACTGCAACAGGCTGTGGCTTCACAGCCTTGGTACCATCTGCGCCCATTCCTGCCACGGGCAGGTTCCGTGGGCTGGGCCCAGCCTCCAGGCCAATCAGAGGTGGGCTCTGAGACACGGTCACCCAGAAAGGGCCAGGCAGGGAAGCAGCTTGGCACAGGGATGCTTGGCTGGGTTAGATGAGTGCTGGTAGAAAAGGACCAGCTCAGCTCGTGGAAAGACGGGACGGAAGGTGGCGGAGCAGTCACTGTGTGCTGGCTTTCCAGCCTCCTGAGCCGGGCTGGCAACCCCAGGTGAGGCAGGCATCAGTGTCCACCCCACAAACAAGAGGAGAGGCTCAGGCAGGAAGCCACAGTGAGTGAGGACGCAGGGCTGAGAGCCCAGGTCACAGACGCCAAGGCTCAGCTGTCACGCTCTACAGAGGTAGCCCGTGTCACCAGGTAACACCAGGGCCTGTGAAGAGTGGAGGGCTGGGATGGGGCCAGGAAGTGAACCACGGCTTCACTAATGGCAGCAATAGGCTGCCGTGAAGTCCTGGGCCTCTGCAGGCAGCTCCGTGGCTCTCAGCCCAGCCCCGGATGCAGAGGGGACCCATGGCAGAAGGCCCCAGGGTCCGAGGCCAGTCTGAGCAGCTGCGGGAGGCCGGGGAAGCCCCAGCACCTTTCTAGGCCTCGGTTTCCCCTCTGAAGTGCAGGCTGGTGACTGGGATCCCACAGGGCTGGGCTCAGGTACGGCTGGGGAAAACCAACCTCGGCTCCTCCCTGCCCACCAGGAGGCACAAAGGTGGGCGGGCAGGTACGGAGGGGGCAGAGCGATCCCCGCGGGCTCCCCAGCCCTCCCCTCCCCCACAGCCCACTTCAGTGGCTCTGCAATGTCCCCAGACTCTGACCCAGAAGGTGGAGGCCGGCTCGGGAGGCGGCGGCTCAGGTTACCTCCCCGGGAGGGCCCCGGATTCTCCCGAGCGGGGCAGGAGGGAGAAGCTGCCTCGCTGCGCAGTCCCGGAGCCCCTGAAGCGGACTCTGCCCCGAGGCCGACCCCATCCCCAACCGAAGTCCAGAGACTGGTCGGGGGTCCACCGCCGCGACGCGGAAGCCCGAGGGCTCCCCGGTGAGCAGAGCCGCCCCCGGCCGTCCACACGTGCTCCCGCTCGGCTAAACCGCGCCGCCCGCCCTCCTCCTCCCCGGGGTCCCCGGCGCAGCCGCGG